AGTAATAAATTAATATTTAATTAATAATTAAGTAATTGCTATCTATTTATTAGTTATTAAGTATATCTATTTATTAATTATTAATTAATATATAATATAATTAGTAATTAATTATTAATTATTTAATATAACTTTGTTAATAATCATTAATTGTACTATGCTGATTCCCGCACAATTTAAAAACTAAAGTTGCTTCTGTGTTGCTTTTGATTTTGGCTGTAGATTCTTAAAAAAAAATTTAAAAATCACTTTTTATAGTTTTTACTAAACACCATTATCATTTTTTGATGGCTAGAGATGTGATTTTGGGCTCCAAGAAGCCCTATCAAATGCACCCTAAAACTGGATTCCTATTAAGTCTATAAATCTTAGAAAAAATATCTTAAAAACATGTTGAAGTGAGAAACAAGAGGGGCTAAAACCTTTTCTCCATGGAATTTGTTGCATTGTCGGATATCACGTACACGCATGTTTTTGCCTAGGATTTTAGTTTTGCAACCATGGAATTCTCCCCTTAGATTTAAAGACTATTTTTTAATCCTATGCAGGCACAGTTCTCTCAAATGCGTCCTCCTGCAATGGTGGCTCCAGTTAATCCTCGTATGCCTATGTATCCTCCAGGTGCTCCAGGTCTTGGACAGCAACTATTCTATGGTCAAGGCCCTCCTGCTCTCATTCCTCCCCAAGTAATAGTTCGTTCTTTTACTTCTTATTATTGTACACATAAAGCTGGTAGTTCTTTAGGCTTGCTTGATTTATATCTAAAGTACTAGAACATTGCAGTTATTTGCCAAAAAGTTTCTTAGATCATAGTTCTTTTATTTTCTGCATAGTATTGGCTTATCAAATTACCCCCTTTTCACTTCAAGGGATTCCTTTCTTTTCTTTTTCTCCTTTTTTTCCCCCTTGAAGTGATAAATGTTCTTTAATTTTATGTCTTGATGTTGGTGATACAATCCATCCCCTTCCCTTACTTCTCTTTAAATTTAAAATATATATCATGATAATGTTAACCAAGTTGTGTCTTTCCAGTAGTGTTATCAGTCTCTTCATATTTGCATTTCACCCTTAATAGATTTCATTTCTATGCCAACAACTGATCGTCTTACTCTAATTTCTTTCAGCCTGGATTTGGGTATCAGCAGCAGTTGGTTCCTGGGGTTAGGCCGAACTTTTTTGTGCCAATTGTCCAACCAGGTCAGCAGAACCAACGTCCTGGGGGAAGACGGTCAGGACCAGGACCCGTGCAACATAACAGGCAGCCACCTCCATTGGTGCAGCCACAGGTAGGTGTTAATGTGAAGTCGTGTGGCATCTCTATGTTCTAGTTCGCACAAGGTGCTTACATTGCTGATTGTATCACCTAGTTTATCAATGCATCTGCTAAAATTACTATTCAGAAAGTAATCTTTCTTTATCTCAATGGTGAGCAACAGATGCTTCCGAGGGGACGTGTCTATCGTTACCCACCTGGTCGCAACATGTCTGATATTCCCATTGGTGGTGCTCCTGGTGGCATGCTATCTGTTCCCTATAGCATGGGTGGAGTGCCAATTAGAGATACTCCATATGGACAGCCTATGTCTACTGGGGCTTTGGCTTCTTCCCTTGCTAATGCAACTCCTGATCAGCAGAGGACAGTAAGTCTGCTTGTTCAATGCATTTGCAGAACTTATAATTTGGCTTTTACTGCTGCTGTTTTCTTGTTTTGTGGCGGTTCATTGCAACTCTGTCGTCATTACAAAATAGTCGTAAGCGAAATTTACTGAAAATGCGTTTGTCCAATCAAATAGTCCTTGGTTTAATGCATATGCTGAATTCATGATATTTTTAAAATTTTCTTTTGTTACTTGTTTTTGTTTTATGGTGTTAAAAATTGAATTGTTTTTTGGATGGAAGTTGTTTGCAATAATATTTGTTGAAAATAGCTTATTCTAACCTAATTTTTTTGTTTTTGTGTTTCAAGTTGCTGGGGGAAAACTTATACCCACTGGTGGACCAATTGGAACATGAAAATGCAGCAAAAGTAACTGGTATGCTCCTAGAGATGGACCAGACTGAGGTTTTGCACCTGCTTGAGTCACCGGAAGCCTTAAAGGCAAAGGTTGCTGAGGCTATGGAGGTTCTGAGAAATGTTGCTCAACAGACGCCACAAGCCAATAGTCCAACAGATCGGATGGCTACACTGTCGCTTAATGACAACATTGTTTCCTAAGTTTCGTTAGTGAAGCCATGATGCTTATAATTAGCTGTGTGCTAATTGAAGTACTCAGTTTTGAAATTTTGTTCCCGGTGTTGCTTATTTTTCATTTAAGATGAGTTGTTTTAGGATGTAGGGTATCGGATTTAGTTGAGATCGAATTTTACTAGCAGTGTGACTTGGAATTTACTGCATTTCTATGGTTAAATTATATGGTCCACATTACAAGATTTTGAACCATATTTGGTCTCCTGTTTTTGCTGCTGATTTTCGTTGCTATGTGTCCATGCTAAGTACTGAATTCTTAACTGCAAGTCTGCAACAGGTCCACTCGTTGCCAAAACTGGTGGAGGAAAACTTGTTTGACAAATTGCTTGACAAATCCTTGTGCTGAAATAGTGCCTACTTATTATTTATATTCTGTTTAATTGGAAAATTCGTTCTCTAATTTAAATTCGTTATAGTATTTTTTCTCATAAAAACACACATAAATTAAAAATAATTTTAATCTTATAGTTTTAATCTATGAATTAAGCGGGCTCATGGCCTAACGCATTTTCTTCGTACTGGTGGAATGGAATTTTGCTTTTGTCTTGCGCGATCCTTAATTTTCGTGCATGCACGCGTTTCTTTTTGTTCTGAAATGGTATAGGTGTTTCCTGGCCTTGTGTGCGTTTAAGAGAGAGTCTTTAGTTTTATGTGTTTCTAATATATGAATAACGAAAATACGAGGGCGGAAATCTTATTGAACTTTTGGAACTCAAAAACAAATCTCGTTTAAATTGGTTTAATGATGAGAAAAAAAAAAAAACTTTATATCACAAATGAAATATTTGCACGGTAAAAATTTTAAAATTTTAAAATTTATTTAATTTAATTTTATAAATATGTTATTTAAAAAATGCATCATATAATATATTTTATACTTATATTTAAAGTGAATAGCATAATTTTTAAATGATGGTAAATTTTAGCACATTCTCTTAGCTTTTAAAATATATATTTTGATTTTTCTTTCTTCCAGCCGCCTCTCCCTCTCCTCACTCTCTCTCTCTCTCTCTCCATTTCTCTCTCCTCGCTGTTTCACTTGCTGACTATTTCTCTCTCCTCGCTGTTTCACTTGCTGACTATTTCTCTCTCTCTCTCATTTCTCGTGGAGGTCTCTTGACAATGAGAATGGAAAGAGAAATCACTGCCGGCGATGATCTCGCGACTTTGGCAGCGAAACTGATCTCCGACGTGATCTCACGATTCCGGCCACGCAACAAATCTCAGACGGGATCTCGTGATTTCGAGCACAACAAATCTCCGTCACGATCTCGCGATTCTGGCCACGAAGACGATCTCGAGATCCGGCCGTTGATCTCGCGACAAAGAACGCTCAGATATGAGGAGAAAAACGCCGGCGGTCTGCGTAGGTACAGTTTTCGTCGCGATCTCTATCGCGGCGGCGAGGACGAGCTTCACCACGATTTATCTCGCGACAGCAAGGATGAAGCACCGTCGAGATCTCTCCCTTGCAATCTCACTGCATCGGCAAGGACGAAGCTCCATTGTGATCCCTCTCGCGAAGGTGAGGACAAAGCTCCGTTGCAATCACGGCAACGATGGCGATCATTTACGGAGAAGACAGATTTACATTTGTTAATACTTTTTCATCTCTGAGTTTGTGATTGTGATCAATAATTTTGTTTTGGATTTGTCTGTGTTTGTGTTCAGAATTTAGGAAGGTACGTGGGATTCGAATTTTTAATTTGAGATGTGATTTTATATGAAAATTTTTTACTATAATAAAAAAATTAAATGTGACTATTTTAAAAATTTTTTATTATAATAAAATTCGAATTCTAAATTCGAATCGGTGAAATGAACGGAACTTAAATATTTTTGTTAAATATTTTAACAGTTAGAAGATTAAATATAATATTGTATATATTTAATAGTTATAAATTTAAATTTGATAAATATTGTATATATTATTAAATATTTTAGTAATTTTAATTTTAAATATCATAAATATTATATTTATCATTAAATATTTTAATAGTTATAAGTTTATATTTAGTAAATATTGTAATACGTTTAAATATTTGAGTAATTACAATTTTGAATATAGTAGATAATGTATTTGCATGTAAATACTTTAATAGTTATAATTTAGAATTTGTTATATGTAGCGGTAAATATGGTATTTATTAAGAAATAAAGTGTTTAATGGTTGTCTGAGTGTAATGATAGAGAAAATTCTGTAACTAAATAACGTAATTTAAGTAATTAAGTTAAGGATTAATATGGAAGGATTTGCAAAATTATTAATATTATATATATATATATATATGAAATTCTAAGTTAAAGTTAATTTATTTCATAATTAAAATGATTTGGTTGATAACTGTTACTGTGATTTAAGGCGAAAGAAATATCAATCCATTAAAGACTCAAAAATTTTAATTATAAGAATTTTCAAGATCAGTATCATGTTAGCAGTGTATTGAGAGACACTCTAACACTTAAGAAGTCCTTAATTGCCAAATAGTGAAATCAGAGTTACGCGTGTGGCGTTTTTGGTTAAAAATACTAATCGAACACGAGAATCGACACTGTCGACTATTATGTTATTTCTAAAAAATTTATGCCGATCAAGTTGGGTTTAGATTTTTATTAAATTTAAATTAATTTCAAGATTTGAAAACAATACAATTCTATTATGCGATTAAATATTACAGTGACATGAAACAAAAGCTAGTTTTCAGCTATTTTCAGCTAAAAATGCAGAAAAATCTGATGAGCACTTTCTCTCTCCTTTCACACTTTCTCTATCTAAAACCATTCATGGCCAAAAACTCAATTTGAGATCCGGACCACCACTTTTGACACAACCAGTGTCAATGGAAAGGTCTCGATGAGTTGAGTTCAACAACATGCAACATGATATCTAACTCTGCCGGGAACTGCCGTACTCGCCGGTTAAAGCCGCAGAAAAACCCATTTCTTTTTGACGAGATATCTCCATCGTCCGACCTCCAATCAAGGTGATTCCAGTTCCTATGGATTCAGAATAAAGATAAGAAGAAAACCTGACCATTGTCATAGCTCGTCGTTGGCCGGAACGCCGCTATCGGAGTCGCCAAAAAAGTCGTCAGCCGCCGCCTTTGTTTTTCCATCTCCAGCTAGCTGTGGTTTACGCCACCCTCACTGCTAAGTTTAGAATTCAAAGACGAGTCGATCCCGACTAGTTTTAGCCTCTGACATCACCGTTTGGCCTAAAAATGCAGCCGCCACCATTGTCTGAGGATGTAATGGTTGGTTTCGATGATCCAACCATTGATTGATGTGTTTTTGGTGTCAAAATGCTCAGAAGATCATGGGCAACAAAACCCCATCTCAATTGTATGGTTCGATGATCGAAATTGCAAGATTTGAGTGGTCAAACAATCTACTAGGTGAAATTTGGTGAAATTGACCTCACCATTGGATTCAGAAGGTTTGAAAATGGGGGATAAGACCCAAGTCTGCTACAAAATTCTAGTTCGAGAGCCGCCGTCGCTGCCGCTACTGCCGCCATCAATGGCCGGAATCCGGCGATACCTTATTTATCAATTTTCTCAACCCTGATTGATGACCTGAGATCATGTCCCGACTTGTTTCGATGTGACAAACGCAAAAGTGATCTCCGTTCAAGAAAATTCCACTCTGGTAAAGGGTCAACCGGTATGAGCGCACGCGGATTAAGGCAAAATCAAACTATGTTGCTGAAGTTCAGAAACAAGAAAGAAGACCATATCCTTACTCATTTCGACGTGTTGAATGCAATATTGACTTTCGTTCAAACTAATTCCATTCCGTTGAAAAGTTGATCAAAACGTGTGCATGCGGATTAAAGCGAATCAAACTGACTCGTTGAAATGCAGAACGAGCTATCTAATGCTTCTAGACTCAATGGGCTTTAATTCTATGTTGAGCCGAACAAGCATATGAAGGTGAAGATTTATCTTGAACTTAGTAAATGAATATGTGATTTAATTGATTAATGGTGAAGATAATTAATTAATTATTAAATTGATTTATTATCAACTCTAGTCTAAAATAAATAATTAATTAATTATCAATTTTAGCACATATAATTAATTAATTATTCATTTGATTAATTATCAACCCTAGTCCGTATAAGTACTAACAATTAAAGAAAAATACGCTTATGAGGATTTAAATTAATTAATCATTTTAATAAGAATTATGATTTTTATGATCCTTAGCGAAGAAAATTTGTTATAAGAAAGGATTAAATCCCTTACTATTATGCTAAAATTTGATAGAATAAGACAAGTTATCTTATACTCTAAATGGGTGATTTTTACAGGAATTATTTAAAGGAAATTAAGTACGTGGCGAGTTAGTGAATTATATTTCTGAAAAAAACCATGTAAGTAGGAATCTCACCCACATGAAAACTATGGTTTTTAAATTAAAATAGTTTTCATACTTTAATGAATTACGAAAATGCATGATCAGTGTTATGCCATGTAATGTCATGATATGTTATGTCGAAGAAATACTATGTTCATGATTTGCTATATTATATATATGTGAAATGTTATGCAATATGATTTATATTTGCATACCATGACTATGTTTAAGAAGGTGTTGTTGTGTAGTAATATGTCACAATGCATACACACAATAAGATAAGTGAAACGTTAAGTGAACAGTGTCGTGCCAACCTCTCGATTCAAGGGGAGGCTCATGTTCAAGAAAAAAAATATATAAAAGGCCTTTAAAGGCATACAGGATCTCGGGTTGTTGGGGACTTTCGTTAACCCTAACTTCCCGATGATCGCATGCACTTGGTACAAACACTTAGGCCCATAAGTATGAAAATATAAGAAAAGAAAGATAGATTCTTAAGATAAGTTCATAATTAAGCATAATTGGCTCATACATATTTAATTAAATGTTTTTAAAGTTATGTTTTGTGAGAATGATTTCTTACTTTATGAGTGAAAGCTCATTCAATTATGCTCATGTTGTAGGTAAAAACCTGTCAGCAACACTTGAAGGGCAGTGGTGGGCGGCGGACGAACGGTAGAGATGAGAATGGATACCGTTTACGCTTAAATCTTTTGAAATAGATTTAGAAATAAATTGTGTGTGTGTATATATATATATATATTTATATATATATGATTCAGAGGTTTCAAGCATGTATATTTAAAAAGTATATGTACGTATGTATGTTAAAGAGAACCGACGTTATAACTAACAACCTTAGTCTTGAGTATTTAAGTTTTAAAATGTTGCAACTGTTCGTGCAACAAATATATGAATGTCTAAATATGGCGATTTAAATGATTGATTTTGGAAAGACTTTAAGAAGTACTTGAATTTAAGATTTTCCATGAAATCCGGTTTAAAGTTATATTAGATGGTTCGATTGAATTGGCTAGTTTTAGAAGACTTTTAAAGAGTATTTGAAACAAGAGTTTAAACGCCATTCAGTTTGAAAGATATTTTAAAAGGGGGTTTTTTTTAATTGAAATTAGGAAAAACTTTAAAAAATTTAATATTTGATTTTAGGAAATTATTATTATGATTTATGAAATGATTCTTTCTCATTTAAGTATTTATTTAAAAGAAATTTATTCCGCTATTTCAAGTAAGTCTAAGAATATGTTAAGTATGTTTAAGTTGAAGGCCACGTAGGAGGTCGTCACACGGAGTCGGTGGCGGGATCTTTGGATAAATATGATATTTACTAATAAATACGGTATTTACTGGTAAATACAGTGTTAAATGGTCACCGTAGTCGGTGGTCAAATTTTCAGATAAATATGATATTTACTCGTAAATACTTTATTTACTCGTAAATACAATATTTACTAGTAAATACAATGTTAAACGATCATCAGAATCAGTGCATGAATTTTTAGATAGATATGATATTTACTAATAAATACGATGTTTACTGATAAATACAGTGTTAAACGGTCACCTAAGTCGGTGCTAAATTTTTGAGTAAATATAATATTTACTAATAAATATAGTATTTATTGATAAATAAGATATTTACCTGTAAATACAGCGTTAAACGGTCGCCGGAGTAAGTGGTCGGCTTTTCAGATAAATATAATGTTAAATGGTCACCGAAAAACAGTCACCGGTCGCCAAAAAATGATCACAAATTGCTAAAAAAATGTCTCCAGTTGCCAGAACCAGCCATAATAGACTTGACTATAATCTACTTATTTTAAAAAATATGCTATAATTTACTATTTATTAAAAAATAGATGTTTCGAGAGAAGAGTGAAGTAAAAAATGAGATTTAAGAATATTTTTAAATTTTTAATGATATTTAAAACTTAAAATATCAAATTATACTATAATTTAATATTTTAAAAAATACGTTATAATTTACTAATCACTCTACCACCCCTACTTCCCTCCTTATCTCTGCTTTTTATTGCAGGCTGCTCTACGGAGAGCAAATTGAGCGCAAAATGGCTTGTTGTGGGCTCGACCAATCTGGCCCAATTGTGATTTCCTTGTAGGCTTGTAGTTGCTGAGTAAGCAGTGTACTAGTTGGTTACCCATTTGTTTTTAGACCATATTTTTTTACTCTTAAATAGTTTTCTATTCCAAGCCGTTGAGTAAAGCATCGTACTTGTGTTGAATTTCCAGGTCCAAAAACCTGATGAATAATCTAACAACATGAATAAGCGAATGAGACAATATGTCTTTCTAGTTATAGGGTAATGTAAAAATTATCCTATTAAGGAAAATTTATGGGATGGAGTAAAAGGATTCGTCTAGTTGCATATATAGCTCTAAATCCAACGGAAACATAAATATATATATATATATATATATACACACACACACACATACAGACTATACTATATATTGGCAAAAGGGTATACAACATATAATTAATCATATATATATATATATAAGTGGAACGCATATATTATGGATTACTAGCTACGTAAGTACAATCTACTTTGAAATACTTTAAATGGCTGTCTTCACCTTGCAACAAACAACTCAAATATTATAAAAATTGTGAGTAAATGACAAGTGGCGATTAAAAATGGCCAAATATTCAGTTAAAAGGGAAAGTTGGCGATCCAAGTTGCAAGAAGCCCGAGAAGTGGTGCAAGTTGACATCTAAAATAAGGTCTTAGAAAAATGCTATCCGATGCATAAATTCTGTCAAAAACTTTGAAAAAGTACAACATTGTTCAGAGTTGGGATACATTGCATTTGTTATAGTGGAAATCCATATGTGCCGCAATTCTTGAATTTTGGATTTGAGAGCTTAAACCGCATAGTTTTACCCAAAAAGTTTCCAAAAGAAGGCCATTTTTTTAAGCACTAAGCACCAACCCTACCGACAATATAGTATATAGAGAAGCGACTTCTTGTGCCTTGATCGTGGTGCATTATTAGTCCTATAATTCTATCATGCAAAACAAACGGCACACTTTTTTACTTTCACGTGCCCTCAATCAAGGGGAACTGAAAATTTTGATAAAGCACGTGCATATGCAAAACCTAGTAGAAAATTTTGCCTTTTGAAAATCACTCATTTCACTCGAGAAAGAAAACTATTAGAATTCAAACCACGATAAACATATGCATGTATTCACGCTCTTAACTATTTGAACTAGCCTCAAGTGGCTCGTTATTGTGAACTTAAAGTATGTAAAATGAGCATATAGATACAAATATATATATATATATATATACATATACATGAGCACCATTTTGTTGTTTGCCATTACTCGCCAAATAATAGTCTTCCAACATTTCATGATATAAAAAAAGATCCTAATCTTTAAGAAAAGACAATTTGCCTGCGGTGTAAAATATTACCAAAAGATATTTTTCAAACAACTTGTAAATCCGAGGCCGTAAAAAAAAAAAAAAAAAAAAAAAAAAAAAAAACTTTTTTGTTTCAAGGTGAATCTTCGTGGTGTGTCCCCATCAAAAAATAAACTTGCGGGGTACCTTGACAAATCACAAGGAATCGATTTTAAGGTAATGATAAATAAAGCATAGGAATAGGACTCGAATGGACCCCACAGTTTTATCACGGTTCCTTGTTTTTAGGTACACTCATGTAATGAGTCGACCTATTATGATAAGGATGTCATCATGAATCATTATATGCTTGAGAAAAAATTCTTACCCCCGCAACAACAACATGAAAAATTTCATGAAAAGAAGGGAGTATCTTTAGTAAGTTTTTTTAAAAAAAAAAGGAATTATCAAAAAGTTTTTGTTTTTAACCATTAGATTTATATAATAAAGTATTTTTTTAATTTATTGTGATTTTCATCAGATTTAATGTCAGACATGAGTCTTACTAATAAAGAAGCTCTATTTGAAAAACTCCCAAAAAAAGGAAAAAAAAAAAAAAAGCATATAGGCTTTAAACTGAAAATGTCATTGGGTCTCTTATCTCCACAAAACTGTTTGCCTTTTTCTCCAAAAAAAAAAAAAAAAAAGCATTTGAATAGAGAGATGCTGACTCTTCGTATGGTCCCCCTTATTCTTGCCCCATTCCAACTTTTATAAGTTGACAAAATAAGAATATTTTCTAGCGAGGAAATACACATAAAGCAAGCAACCTATGGCTTTTATCTTTGGCCTTTTCCCGATTGGGACATGGTGGTGGCAAAGATTTGCCCGTGTGTGATTTGTGTCTCTAAACTTTCCTCCTAGAAAATAAAATAAAATAAAATAAAAATCGTGGCCGTTTGATCAGGTGATCACTCTTTAAGATTCTAGGAAATAAAAAAAAAAAAAAAACTTGTCCAATCAAAATATGATTTTCCTTAGCAAAGTTTAATCGGGTTGGAAAATCCAAGAGGTGAGTCGTAGCTATCAAGATGTTGGGACCACATATATATATATATATATATATATATATATATATATATATATATATGATGAAATGAGGGGGGGACCATTTCAACACCAAACGAAGTCTGCAAAGTGTTACAATAATAATAATACCATTGAAAGGGTAGGTTGGTGATGTTTGGAGATTTCTGTTTGCTTTAGCTTTTTTTAACAAAGAAGTTGATTCAAGTGTTTGTGCTTGATTATTCCCCTCAAAAATATCAAACATCTACAGTTCGCTGCCAAGTTTTTGGTACGCTTGAATTGACTAAATACTTCTCTTTGCTACGTTGGACCTTGGACATTTCTCGAAAACTTTGATTTGGACCCATTATTTGATTACCTTTCTCAAAACTCATAAGTTTGGTGGTCATGCACTAATTAGTTCGGATGTTAAAACTTCACTTTCTTTTGCATATTCCTAATTTCACACTAACTCACCAAGCATGTGCAAAACCTTTTCATTTGATTTTCTTTTACAGCCAGCATGCCTAGCTCATGATTTAAACTTTTTTTCTGCACACACCTCTTTTTTTTGTCACATTATGATCATAATTTATGTTGGTTGAAAATCTTTTTTTGGAACAAGGCTTTGCTTTAGTTGACACATATTCAAGTCTTATTTTAGATTAATTTCATGAATGCCCCTGAATTTTGTAACTTGTTTTAACATGCCACTCAAATTTTGAGAAGGGTTTCTTTCATCCTCTAAAGTACAAAAAATGGTTCAAAACCCCCTATGAATTAGTGTCTCTTTATAAATACCTTCTAAACTATTATTTTTGTGTCAACTTGCCTCCTGATCTTTTAAAAAATTTAGGGATAAATTGACACAAAAATAATAATTCAAATGGCATATTGACTTAAAATCAACAGTTTAAGGGGCATTTATAAAAACATAAATAGTATCATGTCATCAATTTATTAATTTTATAAATGTAGAGGCATTTTGAACTGTGGTATGTACTTCAGGGGGTGAATGAACCTTTATTAAAGTTAAGAAGGAACATTTATAAAATTAATCTTTTTTTTTTAACCATTGTTCCATGAAATTTTTTATGTTGTGACAAATCAGCTCCTTAAAAAGTTGACAATTGACCCTTTAAATTTAAAAAATATTGCATAATTGGTCTTTTTGATTATATCCGTTAAGCACATAATTATCTTCGACATGTGATTTGCACG